AGCACCTTCTAGCCTCTCAAACCCGTCATGCATCATCCCAGTCATATCTGTCAGTCGAACTGACAAATGCTCGACTTGTGTTTGACACACCACCAGCTTCTCTTGTGTGGCTTTCAACAATTTCATGATTTCACCCAAATCTTGATGCAGTTTCTCATCATGCGTCATCGTCTAAACAATTTAAAGAAAAATTAAAATCATAATTCAAGTACAAATTTCTATAATTGACCAAAAAACAAAGACGTGGTCGACCTGACAAAGTATTAGGTCGACCTGTAAGACAAATAGTGACTACCACAACTCGTCAGGTCGACCTCGGTTATTCCTAGGTCGACCTATCCAGCAGGAAAATAACAATTACAAACAAATAGTAAGTTCAAAATTAAACCGAAAAAAGGACAGGTCGACCAGATATCTGGCGCGGTCGACCTTTTCAAGCACAACATAGTCATACAAACAAAGCCAAAGTCGACATTCAGGTTGAATAACCAAAAAAACATATACGGTCGACCTTGAAACTCATTAGGTCGACCGATTGGGTTACCTCGCAAGTACAGAAGTCCAAGTGTTGTGGCCTAAATTCAAATACGAAGAATTGTCTCGTCAGGTCGACCTGGTTGACGTCGCGGTCGACCGAATTGGATTCTGCACCCAACAATATATCAAGTTAGCCGATGGAAATCACGCATTAAAAAAGAAGACGGCGAATGCTACATTAGGTCGACCTCACCTTAGACCTGGTCGACCTCTTCCAACACGTACAACAGCAACCGCGAACTAGGTTCTTCACAAAGGCTCTAAGTCGGAAAAAAACCTAATTCAGACTTGGTGGCGTTGAAGGGGACTCATATTCGTATTTATAGAGATTTAGGACGTGAATGGGTCGACCCAATTCGTTTCCTTGTCCAATTGTGGAACCTTTCTGGTGTTGGAATCCATATCCAATACGGATACGGTCTGAAGGCGGTCGACCTCTTCACAATGCGGTCGACCTATTAGGTGCACAAGGGTCGGCCTATGCGATATTTGGGTCGACCTGTCATTCTGTTAGACCACTAAAACGGTCGACCGCATTTTGTAAGAGGTCGACCGCCTTCAGGAACCCAACATACATGAATTAGCCCATTCGGTCGACCGCAAGTTGTATTCGGTCGACCGAAAAGTCCATGTCACGGTGACATGCATGTCACCGTAGCAAAATCCTATAGTATTATGTGATTCAATTTAATGGCAATTGTCAACACAAGATAAAGTTTTGTTTTTGGTAGGAAAGATGACAAAATAATAGATAAGTCACGTAAAATTTATGTACATATATATTATTTACATATAATATTTATGCAACTAAAATATATTATGTAGTATTATTTGTGCCAATCGGGCGGGTTCGGATTGGGTTAATCGAGTTCGGGTTAGTTGGGTTGCAGGTCAAGCGGGTTGAGGGTCAATCAGGTTGTGGGTCAAGTGGGTTGCGGGTTAATCGGGTCATGGGTTAATCGGGTTGCGGGTCAACCGGGTTGCGAGTCGGGCGGGTCGCGGGTCTTTGGCTTTTAGTCAAATCGGGCTGCGAATCAAATTGGTTGGGCGGGTTACTCGGGTCGGGCCATGTTTTGACACCTATACTCTTACCAGTAATAAATAATCCAGAAAGAAAAAGAATTTGTTGGATAATACAAACAATATTAGAAATTGAATCCGACTATTGTCCCAGAGACGACCCCCCGAGAATTCTGAAGATGGCGTGTAAAAATATCGAGAATTTTGGAAATTCTGAAAAAATTAGATATTATTCAGTTACCGTTCCGCGCAAAAATGATAATGATGTAGGGTTCGACACAGAATACGCAGCCTAGGATAGATGGTTTGGAAGGGTGATGGTTTCGTAGTAGTAGGGGAATGGTTTTGTGGGAAGAACAACCAAGCTAGCAACTTCAACACGTCGGGGAAGAAGCTGGTTTGGGTAGAAAATTACGACGAGATCAATGGTATGGAGTTGATCCCGAAGTCTGCAAGTCAAGGACAGAAAATCCCAGACCAAACTCAAGCTCTCAAGCTCAAGGAAAACTCCTCGGAGTACTTTCGATTAATCTCAATAACGTGCCCTTTTACAAACACCAAGCTAAGCTATTTATAGTTACGAGATTCCTATCATAATTCTAAAAGAACAAGGAAACCAATTACATTCAAACAAGGAAAGGAATTCAGTTTAAACAAGGAAACTTTTAACCTAAGAACTCTTCTTCTTCTCCAAGCAAGCTGCCCAGGAAACAGCCCTTCCTCCCATCTTCATACCCATCGATGGAAGCCTTCCATGTGAGCTTTCTCTTAGCCAATGCCACGTCGTTGTAGAGCAACAATAGTACTTTCATGTGGTATGATGCCTCGAACTCGACTCTCCTCCATATTCCTGAAAATGAGCTCCAAAGTTGGCATCTTGAACACCCTTTCTGCCTTAGTAAAAAACTGGCAGATTTCCAGTTGCAGGATAGCATTTTGAAGGCCTCGAAACACCAACTTCCTGACATCCTTTACAAAATCCAAGTGTACCAAGTTATAGAGGAACATCCCAGGTTCCAAATAAGACCTTAACCTGGCATTTCCATTGAACGGTTTGAGAGAAACATGCCTCCAAAGTAGCCTTCCCAAAACTGTCTCAACACTTAGGAAATTTCCAGCTTGGTTCGTATTAACTTGACCCGATCTTTGAGCGATTCGTTTGAGCTGATACGATGGTAGGATTGAGATCATATCAGATAAACTTTGCTTAGCTATAGTCCTACGGAAAGCAACTTTTAGTATCTTCCGGGTACCCAAGTTCAATCTCTGGCAGGACCATATTTTTGCAGATTCGTTCTTTTTCGTTTAATTTTTGCTTAAAATTTGAACTAATTACTTAACTTTTGTACTTCATCTTCATATATTTTCTAATTTTAAAGTTAAAACCAGATAATTAAAGATGAAGTATGCTGGTCATTTACTATTTATTTTGAACAGACCATTACATAAAATTTGAGTTTATAGCATATGTTTATATCTTTTAATTATCTAAAATATTGCTTAGGTTTCTAAAATACTGTTTGGGGTTCTATTATGAATGAAATATTATTTATTTATTATTATTTATCTTCTTAGAAAATTTTGACGGATACTACATGGAATACCCTCAGCCATTTGGTTCCCACCAAATCGAATGGTTGAGTGATATTCAAAATGATATTTTATACTATTTTTCTTACATAAATGACCCACAAAAATTCAACCTATGTGGCTATGTCTAGCAAACTTACATAGTTAATATATATTCAAAATATTTATCACTTACGTTATGATTTACGGATACACATAACATATACTTTTAGATATCGTGAAAACATATATCATTTCATTATGTCCATAAAACACGAAAAACTATTAAGATCACAATTCACAAATATAAAGAGTGAGAGATGGATGAAAAGGTCCAACTCTCCTTCCTAGCTAAGCGGAGAAAGAAAAGGACATAGGTAAGCATCTCCATCAATGCAATTGCAAATTCAATTGCATATGATGTTTTTATGATTTTTTTAATTTTATGAAATCCAACTCATTTTTATTTCATTGCACCTACATCAATGCAATTCATTTGCAATTGCATATAAAAATATAATCCATTCAAAATATATTTCAATTTATTTAAATGACATAAAAAACTAGATCTGACCCACCATTCCTCCACGTTGGCATTGCAAATGGACTTTCATAATATGAAAGCTTGCATCAGTTACACCATTTCCCACATCAATGAAATTAAGTTTGACATTGCAAACCTCCATCCACGTCATAATGAAATTGGGAAAATAGAGCCGATGAAGATGCTCTAAAAATAGTAAACGGTACACATAAAAAGTAGGGCCGGGGTTTGAAGTTCGAAGCACGTTTTGTATGGATCATTGTCAAAATTTGGCAGCGAGTCAAAACAGTAAATAATAATTTACTGTCCTAACTGAGAAAACATGCGGATATTAAAAGCTGTGTGGAAGAACAAGCAGCAGTAAATAATTGAGCCCCAAAAGGGCAAAAAACCCATCGACAAAAATAGGGATGGCAATGGGCGGGTTTGGGGTGGATTTGCTTAAACCATCTCCATACCCAAACTCATACCCGCCCCATACCCATGTGGGGGAATGTTTTGCAAACCCTTCCCAATACCCGTGAGTTTCGGATACCCATGGGTAATACCCATACCCGTACATCCAACATTATTATACCTAAAACTTACAAAAAAAAATTCTAATTATAACTCTAAACGAGCATATTATATCATGAAGTCAACAAAACACTGTCATTTTTTTAATATGGTTCAAAGATTATGATCCTAAAATATCCATTAATACATAATATAAAGTATAATATTTTTCAAATTATTATGTTCTAACTCTGATACATCTACTAAATAATAATTAACTAACATAATCTTGTTGACAAGGGGGAAAGTGAAAGAGTGAAATGAGAATTGAGAGAAATGAATTAGATTTTGATTAATGTGGTCACTCAATTGCATTTCTACTATTTATTTTCTCAAGTTATCCTCATCATCATTGATAGATTATAATTTGATGCACATATATTTTTTATATATGAAGAAATTATCTTGGTGGGGCGGGTATGGGGATGGGTATGGGGCGGGAAGGCTAAAACCATACCCGCCCCATACCCATCAAACTTTTTGAGGGTTTTACCCATACCCGCGGCCATGGGTTTGATTGCCATCCCTAGACAAAAAGGTTTCTTCTTGGCTTTTTTTTTTCCTGCAAGAACTTCCTCCTCTTAAGGGCTCTCTTCAATGGCGTCCATTTCCTTCCACAAAACCCACCAACAACTCTCCTCCTCTACCTCAAACACTTCTTCACCACCTTCTTGCTTGTTTGATTTCGTTTATTTGCTCCACGTGGACACCCTTCTTAGTTTTATTGTGATTTAGATTTTACCTATTTGATCACTGGTGTTTGAAGTGTTTGATCAATGTTGCTTGGTATTTCTTAAGGTTAGGTTTGGAGATTGGAAGGATGATATATGTGGGGTGCCTGGCTCCCTGGATGCCAATTAAGAAAGCTTGTCGATTTTTTGGATCGGCTCTTCCTTTGTTGGCATCAGGTAGTCAAGCACGTGAAATCTCTTTATAATTTCTATCGAAAACATTACAGCAGGGGTAGTTTCGCCTTCTTTCGAGGTGAGTTTTGCGTTTCACTTAACCATCTCGAACACATACATCTCTTTTGTGTTTGTTTTCGTAATGGGTATTTTATTGTGTTAAAAGTTTTCTTCGTTCGTGGTCCAAGATCTTTCATTAAGGATAATCTCAAAGGTGACTTTCATTATTAAAATTGAGCATATTGAATCTTGCATTTCGTGTTTAACTTTAGTTTTGGGGATAAGTTTCGGGAAGTGGATTCTCTATAATCTGAATCTATTAGCGCAGGTGATCCATATGCATCAAGGGTTTTTATCTACATCGCAATCGAAACCAAAAATTCAGAAGATGTTGAAATGATCTTACTCAAAGATTCTTTTACTTATTCATCTGATTTACATCCCTCAAAATCTCCAACTACTACATGTATCAAAATCTCCGACCGCCGTCCGGTCAAGCCGACGGCAACCCCTGTATTCTTCTCTCGCCACTACATGCACTAAATTTCAGAGATTGAAATTCGTACATTCTTTAGAACACTCTGTTGTTTTTCCCCACTTGCATTAGGAAAGACTCTGTTTTTTACATGATGGCGCAAGAGTAAGGGTCATTATTGTAATAGTGCCCGCCGGCGGCGGGGTTCATCTGGTAGACGTAGTGAGGCGGGCCACCGGCGTACCCGTACGACCAAATGGCGGCCGGCAGCGGCGGCGGTTTGGAATCTTGATCCTCCGGCTTCTTGTCCTCCTCCTTCTTCTCTTCCACAGGGCCGAGGCTGACGAGTTCAGCGTGTCCCACTTTGTTCCGGAGCAGAGTGACGAGCGCCGCCGAGTCGATTCCGTCGCCGGTGACCACGATTTGGGTCTTCTCCGGCCCGTCCAAGGACGCCGAGTCGACTCCGTTGGCACCCACGACGATCTTCATCGCCTTGGATCGTGACTTGTCTTTGTTCATTGAGACCTTGATCACTAACTTTTGCTGTTTGGAACCCAAATAATAAAAAAAAAAAAAAACTAGCCATTCAATGAATCCGTTGCAGGACACAAGTGGAAAGTCGACTTCAAATATGAGATGGGTTTAGTGTTCTTACCTTCATGATTGAGATACGGATGAGAATCGAGCTAATCAAGGTGAATTTTTTGTATCAGAGGGAGGGAAAGGAAGCTTTGATTGAAGCTTTGATTTTCCTGGGGATTGGTGTTTCTGGGCATTTATATGCATGCAAAAACAGGGGAGGTTGTTTGGTTGTGTGGAAAAATGGGGTCTGTACATTTTCCAAGCAGTAACAGAGAATCTCCAAGGAAATGATCGCTTGGAGCCCACAGCAGAGCAGAGGCTCACCACCGGGAATTTGTTTGTTTGGTTATTAAAGGGAAGGGTAAAAATTCCATGTTTGGTCACTTAATTTACTAAAAAGTATAATGTTTAGTCATTAAAAATATTTAATTCCAATATCGGTCACTCAAATTACTAAAACGGTCCATGTTTGGTCAATCTATGTTAGTTTTCGTCAGTCTCCGTTAACACCGTCAGTCATTTGCTGACGTGACTAACAGAAATGCTGACGTGTACTATTTTGACCCTCCACGTACCAAACCCAACCCTCCACATCATCAAACCCGCCACGTCATCAAATTCAACCCAACCCACCCATAAACCGACCCAATTTCATCCTTCTCCTAGCCGCGCAACTCCTCCCACCTTTCAACTCTCTACAAACATTTCTTCCCATCCGTCCTCTTGCACAACCACCATTCCTCAACTTCAATCACCTCTCCAAACTATCGCACAATCTTCTCCACCTTCGGTTGGTCCGTAATTGAATCTGAGTTTCTAATTGAAAGGGAAGAAATGGCGGTGAATCATGCTCCGGGCGAGAGCGGTTAGCCTTCCATTGCAGCTACTTCTCTTAACAAAGGCACATGAGACCTCCCTGAACTTCTCAATCGGCTTGGCCAACCTCCGCATCTCCTCGTCCTTGTCGTTGTCGCTGTTCTCCCTGTCTTGCCGCTGCTGCTGGTGTGGGGCTCATCTTCTTCCTCGTCACTCTCCGACACAGCAGGGGCAGCATCAACCATGAATGTCCTCCTCAAATAGATGTCCTCTGCGGCAGGGAAGGGGAGAGAGACCGGGACGACTGCTACTTCTCCTTCTTCCCCGCGGCGTCAGGGAAATTAGATCCGATCAGGAAGTCCAATCGATCGAAGAATCGTCAGGACGAGACGAGCGCGCCAGATGCCACAACCCTAATCTTCTGGACCTTGTACTTCTTCTTGATGGTGTCGATCCGGTTCTTGCAAGACCTTCTAGCAGAGCGGTTACCCCAGGGCTCAACGAGCATCGCGGAGGCCTCCTCGCTCCAGCAGTCTTCCCGGATTGTGAGAACGCAGGGAATCCTTCATGTCGCCCATGGAGAAGGGGAACGGAGAATCCATTGATCGGCGGCGGCGGCGGCGGCGGTGGTGGAAATCCTAGGTCAGAGATTGGGAAGATTGGGGAATTGAACGGAGAGGAAAAAAGGTGGGGGAGAGAGAATAGGGTAAACGAAGGAGAAGGGATGAAATTGGGTGGGTTTATTGATGCAGAGGGTTGGGTTTGCTGATGTGGAGGGTAAAAATAGTACACGTCAGCATTTTTGTTAGTCACGTCAGCAAATGACTGACGGTGTTAATGGAGACTGACGGAGATTAACGGAGAGTGACTCAATATAGACTATTTTACTAATTTGAGTGACTAACATTGGAATTAAATATTTTTAGTGACTAAACATGACACTTTTTAATAAACTCAGTGACCTAATATGGAATTTACCCTTAAATGGAAAAGGAGTTGTCGTCAGCACCTGCTGGCTCGTTTTGTTCCCTATTAGAAGAGATTGTCGATGTTTGGTCGATTTTAGGAGTGGTTTTGTGGTTCAAAAATTGAAGTTTGGCTAAGTACCTTTATAAGTCTGATTTTTGAAAAAGTCAAAAAATATTTTTATAACATAAAAGCAGAAGTTTCGATAGAGTTTTTGTGAAGAGCTATTTTGAAAATATAAGATAATCCTTAATTTTCAATAAAACATAATTTTATTTTATTTATATTGAATTAAAATTAATATAATATATTATATAAAAGAAATCGAACATAGTCAATTGTGACATTTTTTTACTCACATTTTATATTAGAAATCTTTTTAGTCGATTTTTGGATAACCATAAATCGATAACCAAACAAAAAACAAACCATCAAGAGGCTTATCGGTTTTTGGATAATCATAAACCGATAAGCTCTTTAATGGTTTAGATAAACCAAAAACCAAAAACATGGTTAACTTTAAAGAAATCAGGGGTCCTTATCGATTTATTGGTTTTTGGGTTTTAACCGAAACCAAAACCATTAATATGCTAAATGGTTTAAAACCGACAAACCAAAATCGATAACCTTTTAATGGTTTGCTCTCGGTTAAAACAGAAAAACCAAAACCAAATTGACTACCCTATATATACATGCCAAATCGGGGAGCTCAATTAGTACCACTTTGTTTGGCAACAAGGGGGGTGCAAATTCAAGGAGGGTGCAAAGTGAGGGGTAAATTGTTGGAGGGAGCAAATTATAATTGGGTGCAAATTGGGGTGCAAATTGTTGTTTGGGAGAAAAAGTAGGAGGTTGTAAATAAAGGTGTTGATATATTAATTATAATATAAAAGTGATGAAAGTAATAAAAAATTAATATTATATTTGATTTTCTCATTCTTTTTAGCTTTTTACTTGCCACTCTCTCCTCTCTCTCCCCAATCTTTTCTGATCCAACCCCCTTCCCCCATTGTTGCCGACTTGCCGTCCAATTCTCCTTCTCTCTTTCACAAGAAAAAAAAAAGAAGAGCTGCTTCTTTCTCCCATCTTCACTTCTTCGTCTCTAACCTTGGGGAATATCCCTCTCCTGCTTGCCTCTTCAGTCCTCTGGATCAAGCCACCAGGAAACCACACGACCAATTTTTATGGCTCTAAGCTGCGACCAAAACAGATCTAGGTGAGTGGTTTATTGATATGGATTTGCATGTGGGACGAGTCCTCCGATCTGGGACGACGGAGGGGAAAACAGGCCGGTGGACACTTAATTTTGCTATCGTTGTTGTTGTTTTCATCTTCCCCTCCTTCAGATACTCTGTTTTACAGGCCACCAACGAGCTAGGAATTGAGGACGGCAGCTGCCGGAGAGGAAATCCGGCTGAAGGCAGAGCAGCTTTCCCATCGCGGAAGGAGGAACGAGTGTAGCCTAGGTGCAATCGGAGAAGACGATTGGGAGAAGAAATAACTAACGAAATTGAGGAAAAGTAATTTAAAAAAAAAAAGAATGAAAGCCTCGTCAATTTTTCTCTCTCCACTTCTACCCCAATTTGGGGGCTTGTTCAAACAGTAGTTTTGCACCTCTAATTGCCCGCCCCCTACTGTTCAAAATGTTCCCAAACAGGTGCAAACTCATTGGGAATGGAATTTACCCCTTGACTTTGCGCCCCCCCCACACTCCCTCCTCTTTCGAAAGAGAGCGTACGATATTGTCTGCTTTGGGCCAAGCCCGCACGGTTTTACCTTTGGGTATCCTCCCCAAAAGGCCTCGTACTAATAGGGTTAGATGGACACTAATATACAAGGGTTCCTTCCCTTGTATTATCGATGTGGTACTTGGATTGTCCCACAACAATCCTCCCATCAAGACAAGGACCACGAACTTCATGTCCTCTCCTCAGCAATTATCTTGATCCGCCAGACGCCTTGTATCGGTGGGCTTCTCGATACAAGGACTTTACCAGACGCAGAACTCTCTTTGATCTGCTTTCCAAATGCGAAACTCTCTTTGATCCGCTCTTTGATTTTCCAAGCCCAAACAGGGATCTCTCCTGGACCCACCAAACAGACGCAAATCTCAAATCCTGAGGTCATCGAACGAGGGTCGACCGAACTAAACCAGGCTCTGATACCACTTGTCATAACCTGGAAGCTCAATTAGTACTATATTGTCCGCTTTGGGCCAAGCCCCCACAGTTTTACTTTTGAGTTTCCTCCACAAAAGGTATTGTACTAATTGGGCTAGGTGGACACTACTCTACAAGGGTTCCTTCCCTTGTATTACCGATGTGGTAATTGGATTGTTCCACAATAATCCTCCCCTCATGACAAGGACCACGAATTTCGTGTCCTCTCCTCAGCGATTATCTTGATCCGCCAGACACCTTGTATCGATGGGCTTCTCGGTACAAGAATTTTTCCTAACCACGTCTTCCTGCTGCTTCTCTTCAACCCAAGCCACTTCCTCAATTAAAGCTATTGATCTTTAGAATCTATTATATGCTTTGAGAAATGATGAGTTTAATTTTATTGTTTAATAAGTTTGGTTAGTGTTTTCTCAATTAGAACGATTGATCTTTATAATTTTATTATATGGTTGAGAAATGATAGGTTTAATTTTAGGGTTATAGATATAATATGCCACTCTACTATGATGTTTTATTAAACTTGTCCCTCTGGCCTCTACTATTTTTTACATCAAATATGCCCATGTACTTTAAAAATATTATCAAACATGCCCTTCTGTTAAATTTTCCATTGAAAAATTGTCAATCATGGTTGAACTGAGATTTAGACGACCTGACATCGACAAATGGGAGGAAAAATGCAAGTTTTGTCCCCTGTTTTATTTCCCCGAGTCTTTTCAATGTGAAATTATTTGAATGATTTGATTATACAAAAGACCTAAAATAATTCTAAAGTGAATTTATTAGGGATATTTTAGTCATTTGTGTCTCCCAAACTAAAGTTCGGTCTTGGTTAACGGTTTTTGGATGAAAATTTTAACAAAATGGCATGTTTGATCATTTTTACAAAGTACAGAGGCATGTTTGATGTAAAAAATAGTAAATGGCATGTTTGATAAAGCGTTATAGTGGAGGGGCATATTATACCTATAACCTTTAATTTTATTGTTTATTAATGATTGGTTAATGTTCTCTCAATTAAAGCTATTGATCTTTAGAATCTATTATAGAAATGACGGGTTTAATTTTATTGTTCATTATGTTTGGTTAATGTTCTCTCAATTAAAGCTATTGATCTGAATAATTTATTATATACTTAGGAAATGAAGGGTTTAATTTTATTTTTCGTTATGTTTGATTAATGTTTTCTCAATTAAAGCTATTGATCATTAGAATATATTATATGCTTGAGAAATGATGGGTTTAAACCGATAACCAAACCAAAATCAAACCATCAAGAGGCTTATCGGTTTTTGGATAACCATAAATCGATAAGCTCTTTAATGGTTTAGATAAACCAAAAACAAAAAATATGGTTGACTTCAAAGAAATCAGGGGTCCTTATCGATTTATTGGTTTTTAATTGATTTTTTTTATTTTAACCGAAACCAAAACCATTAATATGCTAAATGGTTTAAAACCGACAAACCAAAATCGTTAACCTTTTAATGGTTTGCTTTTGGTTAAAATAGAAAAACCAAAACCAAATTGACAGCCCTATATATACGTGCCAATACGGGGAGTTCAATTGTTACGATATTGACTGCTTTGGGCCAAGCCCACAAGGTTTTACCTTTGGGTATCCTCCCAAAAGGCCTCGTACTAATTGGGTTAGATGGACACTAATATACAAGGGTTCCTTCCCTTGTTATCGATGTGGTACTTGGATTGTCCCACAAAAATCCTCCCCTCAAGACAAGGACCACGAACTTCATGTACTCTCCTCAACAATTATCTTGATCCGCCAGACGCCTTGTATTGGTGGGCTTCTCGATACAAGGACTTTACCAGACGCAGAACTCTCTTTGATCTGCTTTCCAAATGCGAACTCTCTTTGATCCGCTCTTTGATTTGCCAAGCCCAAACGTGGATCTCTCATGGACCCACCAAATAGACGCAGATCTCAAATCCTGAGGTCACCAAACGAGGGTCCACCGAACTGACGTCCACCGCCCCGAACTGAACCAGACTCTGATACCACTTTTCATAAACGGGCAGCTCAATTAGTACTATATTGTACGCTTTGGGCCAAGCCCCCACAGTTTTACTTTTGAGTTTCCTCCACAAAAGATCTTGTACTAATTGGGCTAGGTGGACACTAATGTACAAGGGTTCCTTCTCTTGTATTACCGATGTGGTAATTGGATTGTTCCACAACAATCCTCCCCTCACGACAAGGACCACAAATTTTGTGTCCTCTCCTCAGTGATTATCTTGATCCGCCAGACACCTTGTATCGATGGGTTTCTCGGTACAAGAATTTTTTCAAACGCAAAACTCTCTATGATCTGCTTCCCAAATGCAGAACTCTCTTTGATCCGCCAAAGCCCAAATGTGAATCTCTCATGGATCCACTAAACCAGACGCAGATCTCCCTTGATCCGCCAAACAAACGTGGATCTCTCCTAAATCCGCCATACAGACGCGGACCTCCCTTGATCCCCCAAACGTGGATCTCTCGTGGATCCACCAAACCAAACGCATATCTCAAATCCCGAGGTCACAAAATGAGGGTCCCACCAAAGTGACTTTCATTGCCCTGGATCCGCCGAACCAGGCTCTGATACTACTTGTCGTGACCGGGGAGCTCAATTAGTACGATATTGTCCGCTTTGGGCCAAACCCGCACGGATTTACTTTTGGGTATCCTCCCCAAAAGGCCTCGTACTAATTGGGCGAGGTGGAATCTTATATACAAGGGTTCCTTCATTTGTATTTCCGATGTGGTACTTGGATTATTCCATAACAGGTATCCCAATCCCTAAATATTTCAACATCCCAATAAGTATTATCGAATATGAAATTAATTACCTTTGTAATTAATAATTAAATATATAAATTAGATTTGATTGTTTAATTTATGGCAAAGAGACTAAGCAAAGAGTCTGGAGTTTGCCTAAAGCTAGGATATGGATAAGGAGAAATGGAGTAGGGGTGACATCTCAAAATTCTTGTCTTGTCATTGGTAATATTTAATTTGATGAATTGGAGGCTGGGAGACGACTAATACTTGTGTTTGTTTATGAAAATAACAAGAGATTAGGTGAGAGACGAGCGACTTAAACTGTAAAGTCAAAAATTGAATTGGATGGGGGCTTCTAAGTTGTGAAAGAGTGAGGAATGACCAAATGTTGTGTGCTATATTTCATTAATTTTTAATTTTTGGTGTTTCTCGATCTTCTGGTATATATCGATCACAATTCTGTAATCCCGAATACCGAATAGCAGTATTCTAAAATGAATCTCAATCCCAATCCCTAAAAAATAAGCGGATATTTGATAATACTAAATAGTGATAAATTTGATACGGTATTCTGTATATCCCAAATACCGATACCAAACTTTCAGCCTTACCCATGAGGCCTCTTCATATAGACAACCTTCTTCAAGTCTCCATTTAAGGACAAATTGTTGACATCAAACTGATAACGAGGCCAGTTCCTGAAGTGGCTATGCGCCGCTGAAGAAGATTCAGCCCCCTGCACTTCAATCTGGACGGAATGAGCTAGCACGTCTTAACGCCATCAGTATTCAGTACCATATATAACGAGATTGGACTACTAGACTTTAAATAAATAACTAATACCAAAGTCTTATCATAAATAAAAAAGGGCTAATACCACTACAACACCCTATCCGAAAATGCCACTTGTGTCCTATTCTTTTCAATATTCCATTTATGTCCTTTCGTATGTTCTTTTTTGTCATTTGTGTCCTCCCGATTTTGTTGACCGTTAAAGATAACGGTTGACCAAACGGAGGTCAAACTGTTGTTGACTTTTGCTGATGTGGCAAAGTATGTGACATCCACATAGGCGCCATGTCATTGCCACATCATTTTTTACTCAAAACTATAATAAAATTAAATTATGAAAATAAAAAATGATAACTTTTAAATTTAACAATATTACTAAACAATATTTTAAACATCCAAAATTGACAACAACAAAAAAAGTTCATCTCCCTCACCCGATACTCCGGCTCCTCCCACTCTGGTTCATCCAACAAGGACCCCCACCGACTTCGACTGGTGCGATGACGGGGCCGCCGGCAGGGGAATTGATTCTCCTCTCCTTTCCTAGACCTGCCGCCTCCCCTCCCTCCATCTCTCGTCAATCATTATTCATCATCAATAATGCCCCCTTATCTGAAGAGCCAGATTGAAATGGATTGTAGATCTGGATTCTGGATTCGACTTCCGATTCTGAGCAGTTGCTGTCGTTTTGTAGCTTGAATCCGCAGCCCCAAATTCACCCAAACTTCCTCTGCCATGCTCCAATCCG